CAATCCATTGAAATTAAGATCAAAACTAAGCTAATCAACAATTTCATCATCATCATATAAATAGAACTAATTCAATCACAAATTCAATTCAAACTTAAACCATCAACAAAACAATTGAAATGATAAGCTAAGAATTGCATTAAAGTAAAATAAATCCTTACAAACTTGCTTCAATTCAATGGAGGAAATGCTAGAATTAACAATCTTCAATCATCAATCAACAATCAAGAACTTCTCTCTCTACAATCTAGAGTTTCTCTCTCTAAAATTCTAGCCTAATTTCTGAATTAATTCACTCTAATGATTCTATCATTATTCTCTCTCTAAAAATAGAAAGAAAATCTATATATAGAAAAACTAACTAAGAGAAGTTAGTTAGATCATCCCTAAATAAACTCATACAAGCGCGGCCAACCATAAGGGAGAGCGCGGCCAACCAGAGGGAGGCGCGCCCGCGCCATCAGGTTGTGCCATGGTCGCACGCGCCCGGGCCTGGGAGCAGGGGAGCCCTCTTCCTTATCATTCCGATGCTCTTCGTGCGTTCCACTTAATGCTCTTGATAAACACGAAACCTTGCAGTTTCTAAACTCCATGTTTGCGGGTTCAAGACTAGAAATCATGCCTCCACGGCTTGAATGCACAGCTCAAGGATTTTAGGAACTTGCACTTTTCCATGCTTGAGCTTCAAATGGAGACCACTAGGCATCCTCATCAATGCCAAAATTGGGAAGGGGCTCGGGAAACTTGGAAAACGACCTTAACCTGAAAAATAAAGGAAAACGAGCAAATAAAAGAGAAAATAACAAAATAAACCAAGAAATGCATAAAGAAAGAAATCAAACTAAGAAAATGCAAACTAAAAGAAATAAAGAGTAAAATCAAGGAAAAGCTTAGTAAAAGAGCTATAGAATAGCATGAAATTCATCCTAAAGAGAACCAAATGAGTGCCATAAATGACACTCATCAGCGTTACAAGAATGATTTAAGATCGCAAAACGTTCTGAATCATTCTCTGTCCCTATCGCTACTTTGACTTTTGTTTTCGAAAATTGCGTTTCTCCAAACTCAGTCAAAGTGGGGGCTTCTATAGACACCCAAATGTGTCTCCCTAAAACCAATCCCAGTGATGAATACCTTTCACGTCATTTGAGTATCGAACGAAGTGAAAATGTCGAAAGTCTAGTGATGAGGATATTTTTATTAAAATATTTCTCTTTCTGTTTTCAAAAATATTTCTTTTCTTACTCCTATTTATGAAAAATAGCCGGTCCAATTTGGTTTGGTCAATAATAAAGGTCCAATAATAGTATAGTTAGATTGGGCTCGAAAAGAGCTTTCTAACGATATATTTTAGGCCCAATTCCAATGACTTATGAGGAAGTTATGGATTAAATTAGATTAGGCCCAATGATTTTAAAGGTGGACCGATGATATAGAGGAGGGCCTATTAATTATATTTTTAAAGAATGGTTTATTTAGAATAAAATATATTAAATCTGATTTCAAAGACTGCTCGGACGCTTAATTACCTGCAACCGGAGTTAAAGGTAATTACGCGTGGAAAAGTGCGTTGATTTTTGGACCAGTGCGAGACGACAGAGTCGTCGCCAGGCGCTGACCTTCGTCGCCTAGCGACGAGTTTGTCGTCTGGTGCTGGCTCCTGTCGTTTGCGATATGAGGCATTTTATTTTAATATGATTTTTCGTCAATTCCATGCTATTTTTCTTATAAATAGGGGTCTTATCTTCCTGTTTTCAAATCCATCTACATTCACAATCTTCTCTCTCTCTCTATAAAAGCTAGAAGCTTTCTCTCTCTCTTCATTTTCTAAATCTTCCCTCTTACAAAATTCCTCATTCATTAGCTTTAGAAACACCTAGCCATGTTCGAAGTTACCTTCGCCCTAGATATGAAAGAAAGAGGTACGAGGCATCGAAGTAAATACTTTAATTGTTTTATTGCTCTTTTGATATGGAATCATGCTTAGATTGTTTTATTGATTCCTAGTATCATGTTAGGATGTTTTATTGCTTCCTAGTATCATGTTTAAGGATAATTAAGTTTCTAATATCATGTATGATTATTGTGATGCTTCCTATTTCTTTCCTAATATCATGTTAGTATCATTTTAGGGCTAAAGCTTTAATCTTTATTGTTTAGTGACATGCTAGGGTTTGTTATTAATCATGTTAGTATAATGCCTAGGGTCTTGCTATTATGCTTTAACATGATTATGATAATTATGATTATGATTAAGATGATGATCGTTATTATGTTGCTTTATATATTTATTGTTATTGATTGATCACACCTTTTATGCATATTGAAAGGGAATTTGTACCTGTAATCACGCTTAATAAGATAATTAATAATCTTGTTTAGGGTTAATATGATTATAATTCAAGTGATCGCCAATAATAGACTTATTTGTGCATTAATATTCAACCAACATAGATTAAACAGGTTTAGGGTAAACTTATTGATTGTATGTTAGTCAGGAAGCGCACATGAATAAGAGAAAAATAAAGTAAAGGCCTATTTTTAGGGCAGGTTCAATCTCTTTTAGGTTGGATTTGTACCTTCATCCCCGAACTTCCAATCATGGTTCCAGACCTATTGGATTTTACGATCTTCTGGATCGTTAAGGGGTGTAACCTTCACCCTGTGACAATTTACAAGTTCCTAAAACTTGTTGGCGACTCTTTTACTCTAACTTCCTTCCCTTTGGACGCCACCATGCTTAAGTGTATGATCACAGCGGGGCTCAAGTGAGGGATGATTTGAAATATTCCCTACACCGATGCATATGGTAAAATTTTTGGTTATCTTCAGTTATTTTATGGAAGTAATCAAGCATAGTCATCGCATCTCCGTCTTTCAACTTCAGCCATGTCTTCCTATTCACAATATTATACATGTCTTTTTTTTAAAACCCCACATTTTCTGCTCCATTCCTGTGGTGGGCTAGATTATTGAAAATATGAGGAATAGAGGATCCGGTTTCATAATCATTTCCAATTCTCTTCTCCACTGCCTTGTTTATTTTGTCTTTTTTGTACATTTTTGAGTCCTGGGGTTCTACTCTGTGGTTATGATTGTTATTTACATTATTAACCACCTTCCATTCACCAAACTCATTCATGGACGCATATAAAACAATAGGACACTCACACTTCTTAGACTTTCTTTTGACCAAAGGGTCATGAGTCACAGCCACCCTCTTCCCATTTACTACACTCTTATACTTTGTTGTGTCATAGGCCTCACACTTAAACACATAATTGCAGAAATTTTTGGGTGATGACCCATCCTTTTTAAGCATGGTGCCACCAGCACACACCACACCAAATCATTCTTGTTTCCCGTACTCCCTATAGTATCTATACAGTTCATCCCAAGTGGAAAACACCATTCCAACTGCAGGTGCATCCACTTTCATAGCAAGACAGCCACCATCATCCTTATCCACAACATTTTCCCTTACACGAGTACCAAAAGTAATCATACAGTCATCCTCTTCACCGCCTTCAATAAAATCAGTGATCATACATTCATCCTCATCACCATCCAACACCTCGTAAACCTCAACATCATTGTTACCCAACTCGTCATCATCAAAACAACAATCAACATCATTTTCCAAATGTACATTTTTTACCAACTCAATATTCTGCATATAGTACATGTACCAGTAACTAATTCAATCCTTTCCCAACAAACAATTAACTTGTAAAAAAAAATACCAACATAACATATTAATATACTATATCATTTTTTAAAAAAATTACCAACAAACTACAAAAGTATACCAACAACAAATACATATTGCTATCAATTTTACAACTCGAAAGGAGATAGGGCCTATTCTCATACGTTTATTTTCATTTCAATTCAATTCAGTTCAATTCAGCTTAGTTAAGTTAAGTTCAGTTCAGTTCAGTTCACTTTAGCTCCTAATTTCCTTCTCTTATAAAATATTTATTTCAATTTAGTTCAATTTAATTCAGTTCAGCTCAGTTCAGTTCAACTGAGTTTAGTCAATGAGAACAGGCCCATAATCAAGACTTTCAACCAGCATTTATCAAATGAAGCAATTACATGGATCTTAACAATATTCAGTCGATTCTTAACACATATATCAGCACATTCATTGCACAAATTTACTACAAAGATTTACCACCAACAAAACAATACAACACAACACAAATTCACTCCACACAAATAGCATTTAACAATTACCCAGTACTCATATTACCCATTACTTATAGCTAATCGAGGCACATTCACATTCACTTACAATTTTGCAAATCTAAATCAACTACAAATTCCAAAATATAAATTCTAATTATTCAAGGAAACACAATGACGTACAAGATCTAGTCGACGCTTGACGCTAACATTCTCCTCCTCCATTGTCGGCGAACTCCAACCGAATTCCTTTGTCGAAGCTACTTAACTCCTCCAATCTCCTCCTCCAGTGGCCTCGTTCACCTCATTTTCTATTACTCTTTTTATAAAATATCGTTTCCCGTTACACTCACGTGTCCCCTTTCTATTTTCTTTTATTTGCCTTTATTTTTAAAATAGTGGCGAAATTACAATGGTACTCCCTGCTAGAACTCTTTCCGTTTCTAGTTGCTAGATGTCGAGAACCCCACTTCTGTTTTTTTTTTATTTATTTATTTTTTATTTTTAGCTCTCCTAGGTTGTAAACTTGTAAAATTTTTTAATTTATATACTTCCTCCGTTTTTAAATACTTGCTCCACTTTTCTTTTCCGACCGTTTTTAAATACTTGATCCATTTACTTTTTTGGAAAGTTTTTACAATATTTAATTTATTTCTCACACTTAGTGGACCCAACATAATACTCTCTCTCCTCCTATTCTTTCACTACTTTTGTTTTTTTTAATTTTTTATTTTCTCAAGTACCCCACTACCTCCATATTTTATTACTTTCTCCAAATTCTCCTAAAACTCCGCGTATGGAGAAATGAAGTAAGTATTTAAAAACGGAGGGAGTGGTTCTCTACTTCTCTTGAAAAAAAAAAAAAATCAGCTTTGAAAACGCTCTCAAGTCTTAACCAAACGCAGCAAAAGACATTTTTCTCGCGTAATAAACCTCGTAGTAATCGTTTTAAAAAAAAGTCTAACGAGTTGAAGTTGGTGGAATTGACGTGGTAACTCCAAAAGTACAAGACAACTAAGCAAGATGCTTCTTTAACATTTTCAGACCAACTCCCCGCCTCTCTGAGTCTTTTTGTAGACGGCGATCTTCCATCGTAAAACTCTTCATTTTCACCTCCTTACAATGGTAAAAGATCAGAGAATTCGTAAATCATCTGACAAAAACTTGTTGATAGGATTTACCTGCAATTCCGCCGCCGCATTTAAACTCATCCTCGCCGCCCTCCTCCTCCTCTTGATCTGTACTTGCGCCGTTTTCCTCCAATTCCTCCCCACTTACTTCCCTCCTTTCTCTTGCGCCACCGCCAACACCACAAACATCGCACAACCACCCCCACCAAAAGTAGATCAGATTCTCGAACACGGCGTAGTTAAACGATGGTTCCAACCATTTGGGTCCGCCGCGTATAGCTTTATCTTAATGTCCGCCTACCGCGGCGGGCTCAATACTTTTTCCATCATTGGTCTGTCCTCAAAGCCACTGCAAGTCTACTCTCGCCCTACGTACCTTTGCGAGTATCAAAATTCGAATAATAACAGCTCATCTTTTGTCAAAGCTTATAAAATTCTCCCTGATTGGGGGTTCGGAAGGGTATACACTGTCCTCATTATCAACTGTACATTTCCTGATGGAATTGTAGATGATTCATCCGTTGGTGGCCAGCTTATTCTTCATGCCCCGGATACTAATCGAAGGAACAACTCGCTCATTGCTGTAGTGGAACCACCGAAATCATGGGATGTATCTCATTTTGTTTCCCCTCCGAAATACGACTACCTCTACTGCGGTTCCCCACTCTACGGCACCCTCAGTCCTCAGAGGATGCGAGAGTGGATCGCGTACCACGTGAGGTTGTTCGGGGAGAAGTCTCATTTCGTAATCTTCGATTCCGGAGGGATCCACCCCGAGGTCTTCGAGGTGTTGAAACCTTGGATGGACCTCGGGTATGTTTCCTTGCAGGATGTTAAGGAGCAAGAGAGATTTGACGGGTATTATCATAATCAATTCCTTCTTGTTAATGATTGCTTGCATCGATATCGTTTCGATGCTAAGTGGATGTTCTTCTTCGATGTGGATGAGTACATTTATGTTCCTCCGAAGTTGTCACTTAGATCCGTCACTGATTCGCTCGAAGAATTTACTCAGTTCACGATTGAGCAGGTTCCCATGTCTAATAAGCTCTGTCTTACTCAAGATGCTGGCAAAACATCCAAGTACGTTTCAATTTCTTACTCTATCTTAATTTTATTTCTGTTCATATGTTTATATTAAGATTATTATTGATAGAAATTGTTATCATTTAAATTTGTAATGGACATGGTTGATTAATAGATTTGAGGTTCCCTCACAATAGGATGGCAGAGTAACATAGATATGAAGCTTAGATGTCTTAGCTAGGCCTCCTATTTCTGGGTATGAGGTTAATTTTGGCACATCCGTAATTAATTTTGGCACACTAGTGAGAAAAGCATAAAAAAGTGTGCTCTCACATAAAGTTGTGCGAAAATCAATTTTTGGTGTGTCAAAATCATTTTCCGAAAAAATAATATACTTCCTCCGTATGGTTAAAGGGCTATAATGACGTCATAGATGGGTTTAATGGGGGTTTGGTAGTAATCGCAACATCTCAAAAAATTTTGCGGTAGTAATTGGAAAATTATCCAAAAGTATATTGAAAAGATAGATTTACATAAGGTTTGTAAAAAAAAATAGAGAGAGAAAGTAATAAAATTACATAGAAAATCAAATTTTTATATGCGGTAGCTAATTTTACACAAATATTGTTGCAAATTGGTGGATGTTTTAATGTAAATGAGTCATTCTTTTTGGGACTAAAATTAGGTTAAATGGGTTGTTCTTTCCGAAACGGAGGGAATAATATTAATAGTTGTTGGAAAAGGTAAATTGGGTAAACATGTTGGAACTAAAATTTGTCCATAAGAACATTCCCAACAATGAGCAAAAATTGGTTTTCCCATTCTCTCTCTACCCACTTTCTCTCTCTTTCATCCCATGAGCATTTTTGTGTTCATATTTTTATCCCACCAATGATCAAAAAAAATTTTCTTCCCCATTCTCTCTCTAGTACATCTTCTCTCTAATACCCTCTTATATTTCTCTCTATTATATTATTTTTGATTCTTTTTTTTTACTTGCATTGTGGACCCATATGATTACTATTCATCTTAAAAAAATGCTCATCCTATGAGCAATTTTCATTTTGCTCATGAGCATTTTTCAATATGCTCATTGATGGGGAACATCTTTTACCATTTTTGCTCATGAGCAAAAAAATGCTCATTGATGGGGATGCTCTAAGGGACCATCAAAAGGTGACGAAGAGAATAGTTATTTTGGTATGTCTTTAAGAAATTAAAACATGTATTGAATTTGTAGATTTTTTTTTTAGTAACTATATTTAATTTTCCTACAAAGACTATATTTAATTTTCCTACAAAGTCATGTTATAAATCTATTCCGTATTAGCCAACATGCTAAGCAAACGCTGTGGATAACCGAAGTTGGTGTGCTGATATTTTCTGAAATTAATTTTGGATGGTGCTTTCGGCTTTGTAATTGAATTCTAGAATTTTGATATTTGACGGAACTTAACTAAATTCATAGTCCACAATAGGCAAAGCTTGATTTTGTGCCAAGATATCCAATTATTTTGAAAAGGACAAATTGTAACTGTTTTCAAATTCGTCTGAGTTCATTATAAATGTTTTATTGCTCGTATTAAATACTTAATTAAGAATTTAATTATTTCTAGATACATCTTTAGTTCTTTACCATATTGCTTCTAAGAGCAAGTTTAGCCCAAGTTTTAAGATTTGGATGTGACATTATTTTCGGTAGTCTCCATTGAAAATGATGTCATCAAATTCTTGTTAAGACTCACTAAGACTTACACAAATTTATCACTTTAGCCCTAAGACTTAAATATTTGACATATTATATGTAGAAAAGTGTAAAAAAAAAAAAAGGGATAATAAAAATAAAAGTAAAGTAGGTGAAACGGGTCTCAATCTCAAGTCTTAAGTTGAGTCTTGAAATTTCAAGATTCAACTTGAGACTTGCGTGAGATTTTTGAAGAAAAATGGAAAAAGTGTTGAGTATAAATCTTAAGATTCAAAATGATCATGTAGATTTTGATTTGTATATTAAGTCTTAAGTATTTGAGAGTGTTGAAAAAAATGGGAAAAAACTTAAAAGTTGGGGCTAAACTTGCTCTTATGCCTCTACCTATTCTTTGCAAGTTTAACACCAAAACTGAGGTAGATTTTGATTTGTATATTAATATTTTGTCCCTTTGTTTGATGCTATTTTAGCATCAACATCTTCCTCTAAACAACTTGCACCGAACAATTACAAAAATTAAAACAGCTGTACTAGTTTCAATTTTATTAATTTATGTGGCTAATGGCTATCAACTTTGTCCAATGACTCATTTATCACATGACGTACTGCATGTGTACGTGAATGTGATTGATAATTATGTGCAAATAAATAATCCGTATTATTCATAGTAATTAATTACTCTTGTCTATCGAAACATGTCAAGACTTGTTGGAGGATTAGTTATTTTACTGATAAATATGATGGGCTTGTTTCTTGTAATACTTTTTTTTGGGGGGGGGATATCTAGGCATCAAGCTGACCTAGTTTATGCAATGCACACACTTTGGTGCAAAGTACTGGACCCCATTAAATAATAAATATCCAGCTTGGTCTAAATTTTGATCTAATATGTATGCTGCGCTAATGAACGTAGTACATAAGAGCATCTACAATTAGTGCTGTCAAATTTCAAACCGAAATCGTTTAACTGTCCGAAACCGACCGACTCAAATGAGAACCGAATCGATTAAAAACCGATTTTTTTGAAACCGAAAATCCATCCGAACCGTATTTTAGTAAACCCGAAACCGAATCGACCCGAATAATGTTAAACCGTAAAAGAACCGAACCCGTTAACAAATCGAACCGAATATAAACCGAACTGAAAGAAAACCGAACCGAAAAAGAACCGAACCGTATCTAACCCGAAACCGGTTCCAACCCGAAACCGTTTAAACTGGCAAAAAAACCGCTTACACCAAACCGTTAGCAAACTGCTACCCGTTTGCACCGAACCATTTAAAAACTGAACTGATTGTAAACCGAACTGGTTATAAATCGAACCGTTTATGAACCAAACCGCTTCTAAATCGAACCGTTTACAAACTTTTTTATATAATTAAATGGATTTTTTTTTAACGGGGATATAATTAAATAGATTAAATATTAGAAATCTTAGAATATTTTTTTTTAATAGCAAGGAAAATCATTCATTAAGGTCTTAAGGATAATCAGTGTTCACAAACAAGAGCAAAACAAGCAGGCTCAGGCCCTGCCTCAAACTATTAGCAACACTACTGCCTCTAGTCATGTATACATTTGAGGTGATGAAACCAAATGAACAAAAAGCTTGTAATATTAAGTACCAAGGCTTGGCTGAAGGCGTAATAAATAAAATTAATTCACAGAGACTATTAAGCATATGATTACATTGATTCTGTGAGTAATAATGAAATAAAGATGGGAGTGTGCTAGTGACATGAATATGCTATTAGGCTATGTTTTAATTCAAATTCAACTATAATTTAGTAAACTTGAAATGAAATCGATATGAATAACGTTAATGTGGTTAAACAATCGAAGAACCGAACCAGTTATAAACTGAACCGAAAAAGAACCGAACCAGTTAAAAACTGAACCGAAAAAGAACTGAACCAGTTATAAACTGAACCAAAAAAGAACCGAATTGTTTCTAATCCGAAACCGTTTCCAACCCGAAACTGTTTGAACCGGGATAAAAAACCGTTTACACCGCACCGTTAACAAACCGCAACCCGTCTGCACCGAACCGTTTACTACCCGGACTGTTTACAACCCGAACCGAATTAAAACCGCTTAAGAATAAACCGAAACCGAATCGAACTGATAACTATTTAAACCGAACCAAAACCGACCCGTGAGACAATTAAACAGATTCCAAACCGACCCGATTAAATACCGAACTGAAACCGAACTGTCAAACCGTTTTGACAGTGCTATCTACAATGGGTAAATTACATGTACATGTAGCTAAAGATTATTACATCATTATTTCTCAAGCTACATGATTTAACTACAACCTCTATTATGACAAGTTATTTCTTTTGTAATTTTATTATATCCCACATGATGACACAAAATATATAAATACATTAAACAAAAAAAATTAATAACATTAGGTGAAATAAAACTATATAGCTCTATAGAGCTATGTAGTTGGCTTAGCCACAAGAGAGGTTGTGGCTCCACAATAGCTAGCATGTCTCTAGCAATTATTTAGAAATTGCTAACAGGTTCTTATGCACAACTATTGTGGATGCTCTAATGAAAAAAATGCTCCCTTCGTTTTTTTAAAGTGTCTATTTTTATTGTTGGTGTATATGATAACCTAAAATAGAATCGATTTTAGCGAGCATAACACTAGAAAAAACAAAATGAATATATTTATTAACTTAGAAAAATTTGATAGTTGCAGCCATTTAAATTTTAAAGTTTATATTTTGCAAATTGTAGCCTTTAAAAAAATTGCAAATTTCAGTTCAAGAGTACTAATAAATTGTAAATTGCAGCCTACTTCAATTTTTCATTGATTTGCATGCCAAAATAATGTTTTGTTAATGGTCATTTTAGCAATAAAGGGTCCAAATTGAGCTCAAAATTGTCAAAAAATTAGCTTAAGTGCCTCATTTTCGCGGCAAAAAATAATTGCACAGAAATTGATATATTTTTATATGCAAAATGAGGCACTTACGTTATTTTAATATTATGTCGATTTTGAGCTTAATTCGGAACCTTAAGGCACTAGCGGAGCTAGAGGGGGACACGAACAACTGCCCCTCACTTCCCCAAAAAAATTAGCTATATACATTATTGTGTGGGATAGTATATACTTCCTCTGTTCTTTTTTACTTAATCTGTTTCTTTTATCACGCTTGCCAATGCAAAACTTTAACGATCAATAACTTAAATTCTCCATAAGTAAAAATTATAAAAGTTATATATTATGATAGTACTTATTGAGACGAATCCAAAAAAATCATACATGAATATATTTTTCCTTACATATTATTTACAAAAGACGGTCAAAGGAGGGGGGTGAATAGTGTAAAAGTCA